GTTGGAGTCGAGAACGTGAGACGTACGTTGAGAATTATAGCGTTTGTTATAGAGCGACTGTTGAAATTAAGTGTATCGCAAAGTTATATTCAAAAAGAATAAACCAGTTATATTTAAGAAAGGACTTGTGTCGCTAAAGTTTCGTCGGAACGAATTTACGGAAAATTAACTAACGAACGTAGACGTAACAATATCAATAAATACACTTTATGATATTTCATAGTTTTGTCTCAAACTAGAATTCTTGAATTGCGTCTTGCCACTTTAAAAAGTTTTCTGGTGACCTATATTATGAATACCAATATAATCTCATTTCTTTGAACACCATTTTAGCTTTACGTTGTTGTTTCTTTAATTTCCTAAATGCACCTACTTTTAATTTATATATTGAAATAATGGGCCCCCTTTTCAAAATCCTTCGTATGGGCCACCATTACCAAATATCTTTATATCTAATCAAATAAAATTCACTTAAATAAAATTACTATAGAAATCATAGATGAATTTTACCAATAACAGAAAGTCAAAAATTTAAATATAAAATGTCATCATTAGTTTTAACATATAATGAGAAAAATTAACATTGTTTACAGTGCAAACTTACCTGTCCAAACAATTCTGTATTTCTAGGCCTTTTCTTTCCCGTGTATTGTGGTATTTTCAGGCGCTCTGATTCCCTTTTAATGGTAATCAGTAGGAGAGGCAAAGTAACAGGAGTTTTGACCGAAAATTGATTACGAGTGAAGATGAATTATTTAGCCTCTACTGGGTTGGATCAAAAGAAAGAGACTGAATCCAATGTATAACACGGTGAAGCAATTTTAATTTAACACTCAAAAACAACCAAAAAAGTGTATTTTTTATGCCTTTACTGATGAACTCTCAGAAAGAAAAAAAAAAGATGTGTTTATGAAGTTAATGTCGAATCTGTTCTGTGTCTCTAATACTAAATGTACGCCTTTCACTGAGAGAACACAGCATTTATACACAAACACACACAAAACAATGGTATTCTTGTCAGGACGTGTCAAGGCCTAGTGGTTAGGACGCTTGACACCCAATTTGTAGGTCGTGAGTTCGAATTCCTATCACCAAACATGCTTGCCCTTTCAGCCGCGTAGGCATCATAATGTGACGATCAAACCCACTATTAGTTGGTAAAAGAGTTGGCAGTGGGCGATGTCATCTAGCTGTCTGCCATCTAGTTTATCACTGCTAAATTAGGAAAGATAATGCAGATAGCTATCGAGTAGCTTCGCGCGAAATTCAAACCAAACAAAAACGTGTCTACTATCCATGATGGTTTGTTTGTTTGAAGTTAAGCGCAAAGCTACACAAAGGGCTATCTGTGCTCTGACCACCACTGGTATCGAAACCCAGTTTCTAGCGTTGTAAGTCCGCAGACATACCGCTGTACCACTGGGGGTTACCCATGATGGTCACTCTCACTGAAAAATAATGGTTATTGGATCCTCAAAGTTTCACCGGACCTGTAAGTGGAAAAGATTACTGCCTATTTCTACAGAATATGCTCCACTTTACAAGAATCTTTCCAGCACGAAAGTGCATGTGATACCATAGTTGAATGGAATCTAGGTTAGAAATACAAGAGGAAAAAAAAAGAAATTTCACAGAAAGGTAAAAAAATGTCCAGAACTTATTTTGGAAAACGGTGTCAATAAGAGCTAAGCCAATTAATTTGTGAAAGAACATCTGTACAACTATAGCATATTTACGGACTATTAATTCAGAACAAGGTTTACACATGTATGTGATAATAAAAAACTAAAATACTTATATCGGTATTTGTCATTTTATACCATTCCTAACATATAAGACTTTTTTTTACCTATCTGTGTAATTTTCTTTGACTTTTTTTCCCCATTGTCTTTATTACCGCCACTGGTTGAATTAGTACGTAACTGAAGCATAAAGAACTTAGCATGTTGGAATCAAATACAATTATAATATTTCACATATTAAAATTATTTTTGATTATATTTCACGGTTTCCATATTTTTCCAGAAATGTACTGCACAACACTAAGAAGGCGAACTATGAATGTAGTAAGAAGAGAACAAACTTATTAAACCTAATGCAGCAAATTACAAAAATATTATATTTGTCAACGCAAAAAATTAGTATAGTTGGCAATTTTGTTACCTATTAGGTAGAAATGAAGTTCTGATAATCAAACATAAATAACTTTACTTCATATGATTATTGTATTCAGAAATTATTTTTTGACATAACTAGTCTTCTTTCTTTTAAATAATTTTAATATCGTATATCGCCTGTTTAGGTGGTTTGTGTTTTCAAGAAAATTTACTTATGAAAATTGTAGCCTTCTTTAATGTTGTCATGTATACTAAATTTAAGTAAGCTGTAACAAACCATATAAGATTAAATGTTTCGATTATGTTAGTTTTATTTTGTTCAACGTAGGTGTTTTCGACACAGTTCATGTAAGAATATTTTGGTGTTCGTTTATGCCTTTATATATATGAAATTTCATCAAGTCTTGACGAACCAGGTTAGGTAAATTCGTTGTCTCCAGATGGGTTGGCGTAAATTTGCGGACTTAAAATACGGAGTTAAATTGCCCTCATTTGACAGAGTGCAGATAGTCCAATGTATAGCTTTACATTAAGAAAACAAGACGAGTCACGAAAGTTGCGTTAATAAAAACGTGGTTAAAAGTACAAATGTCAATTTATTAAAACTACAAACGTTGTCAATGCTTTCAAATTACAGAGACAATTTTCCTAAGTGCGTTCACTCATGTGATAGCTATGAAAATATTTTAAAACAGCTTCTGATATTACATAATAAAAATGTATCAGCTGCATTTCTTCAGCTTTTTCAATTACCGAGCAAGTTAGCAAATATTAGACAGCAATAACATAACTCAAACAGTTTTCTCCTATTTTAAGTGTTTTTACACAACATAACCTACGGACCGACAATGGTCTTTAAAGGCTGTCCTTGTACACCAACGTTTAGGAAACATAAAAATTTAAACCCATCCTTTACTTTTCAGAAACCATCGATTAAACTCCTCCGAAGTTCTTGACTACACTAATGCTGATGGCAACCCATTCCATAATTCAACCACCCTGTTAAAAAATAAAACTTTTAGCTGGATGGAGTCTAACCAGATTTTAATAAATCTTA